TTAAAAAATAAACAGTTTACACAAAATAAATTTAAAATAGCTTGGTACCGATCACGTCATTCCCAGGGGTTATTATCATCCATAAATTCCATGATATTATATAAAGTTTTAAACTTGGCGGAAGTCAGATTTTGTATATTTTCTTTAATTTTGTTGCAAATTCGTATACAAATCCCCAAGAATGAACCTGACTCTCTGGAGTCGAGTAACTGGTACGAGCTTGTGTCTGTTTCTAGTATTTTATTAAAACTACTTATATTTACATTTTCGTTAATCTATTGGGAGGCCAAAGCTTATATTATAAGATGGCTACCCGAGTACGGAACTAGTGTACGAAACCTATCCAATATTAGAGAGGAGTAAGACAAGGTGACGTTATATCCCCAAAACTCTTCATGCAGCGGTTTGGAAGATTTTTTTAAGCTGAATTGGAAAGGATACAGTATTAAAACAAATGACAAGTACATCGCTTACCTTTTCAGCATCCACGACCAAGTTATCCTACGAAATTCTGCTCGCGACTAAAACTGCTCGGGGCAAGCGGAGTAATAAGACCAAGGCGACCCCTATCACGCTATCCGTGAATTTTTGCAATAGGGGACATCATTCCAACCTTAACGCTGTCCACTATCATCTGGAAGCTCTGATTCTGCATTTCTTCTGGTGAGTGCAGGTGGCCGAAGGCCCATTTCCCCCCTCCTCACTTAACATGGTAGCGGAGTAAAATCGAACACTACTCCAGAAGGGTCCAGCACCCCTGGTGACGGAGAATCATTCGCTGAGCATCCACGCTCAAGCTACCCTACTCTTTCTGGGCGTGGATATTCAGGCTGCCCGCGTGTTCTGAGGAGGACGAAATTCCAATCGAGAAACCTGTGTGGGGCAAACGGAGCAATAAGACATAGGCGCCCCCTGCCACCCTATCTGTGAATTTGTGCAACATCAGGGACTTCATTTAAAACTTAACGCCCTACACTACCGTCTGAAAACGGCGAAACCGGCCTTGCACTTTCTAACCGAGTCACAGGTATCCTCTCCGACTGATACTTCGTATCTCACCGACCCGGGGTAAAAAATTAGAACACTACTTTGTACCCCGGGCTGGAGTTTGCATGTATGTCAGAGACTCTGTTTTCGATGCATCGGCAGCGTTGAAGGTACAGACCTGTCCATCCGTTGGCTACGCGTAGACAGTGACGAGCATCCCCGCATCTACGGGGGTGGTAATGCCGACACAAACCGACTCATCGACCACGTGGCTGCTAACTCAGTGCTACAACAGGTCTGCATCCGCAGAGATTGTGAAGCTTGGTGATTTTAAAGCTCACCACGCTGAATGGCTTGGGTCCCGTTTAGCCGATCATGCGGGTAGATCTGTTTATGACTTTGCTTTAGCATATGGTCTGACACAACTGGTTACCTGGATATCAGATCTCCGTTGATGCCCCTCTTGGCTACTCAGACGATTGTCTAATCTGGTTTACGGTGCCACTCACGCTCCCATCGCGGTTGCGACAATAGAAATATATATAGCGTAAAAAATATAATAAAAGTATAAGCGTGACCTTGTCGCCGCTATGATGTGTTGACGAACATCATTCACCGTTTAGTGATTTAGTTGCACGGGGAACGTCGTACGTGAATTTATGTTATTATAAATTTATTATGATGAAATGCAGCATGAACAGTTGTAGAAACTCATCAAGGACGTGTAATTCAACTAAAAAAGTAAGTTGATTATTTACTTCTTATTATATATCGATTTCTATTGTCTTATTATTACTATTTCTGTGATCCTACCCTTGGGGGCGGGTTTGCTTCTCGCTGGATGATCGCACCTTTGTTGCTGATTTTGTCGCTGATCTATCGGCGGCAGAACCCAGCCATGAGCTATAAGCAAGAGTGCTCTACTAGGTCTGGCTTCACGTATCGACGTCTCGGAATGCAAATAGCAGTGCTCTTAAAAAGAAGTATAATTCCGCCTCCAGGTCCTTCAAACGTGTCATTCTTCCCAAAGTCACAGCACATCGGTAGAATGGGCGAGAAACTAGTTCGATTTCTTTCGGAAACACGTGCATTCTGGTCTCTCACCAAGGCTGTCCAAGGAAACTTCTGTCAGCCATCTCTCCCATCTCTGCACAAGGAGGACGCCTAAATGGCCCATGCCCCAACAAAAGCGATCGGCTGGGCTCTTGATGACGGGGGGAACACACCGCCGACCATCCAACGGTGCTGTTTACCCAGCGCTCGGTGCGCAGAGCAATCCTCTCCCTGGCCGTCAACAAGTCGAGTGAGCCCGATGGGGTCCCTCCTATTGTAGTCCCAGTACAGTTTCCGACGGGGCCGCTCAGCTAGTGTTCTTCTGGGTTACCTAACTCATAGATGGGCTGAGGCGTTAGTTTGGACATAGCAAAGGTCTACGATCGGGTTTGGCACAAAGTAATTCTTACGAAGCTTTTATCCTATGGGTTCCCGAGAAAATGTGCAATTGAATCACCAGTTTTCTTACAGATTGGAGCATGAAAGTCGTAGTGGACGGTGCATGTTTTGATTACAATCAGGTTCGGTCACACGTGGAATACTGTTGCGATCTCTGTGCTGGGGCTTCCCAGTGCCAGCTCCTTCCATTTGGTCGCAGTCTCATCCAGCGGCCGGTTCTTTTTAGCGGTTAACGCGCAAACTTGTGTCTTCTGGGGGTTAAACTGGACTAGATTTAGTCGCCCCCAATCCGAGACTTTGTTCAGCAAATACTAGACTTCTAACACAAGTTTTTAACGCCAGCGTTAATGGGCTTATAATCCACGTAAACCGCTATCATCATACATTAACGCCAGCGTTTATATATGATGTTAGAAATTTATTTTGAATTTTTGACTAAATGAGGAGTTTATTGATTTTAACTTTCAGACAAAATAGAACGCGGAGCGAATGATAAAAAACTTGTAAAAATTCGGATGTAAATAACAGTCTAAGAAATTTTCTATGATGTTAAAATCCTTATTCTAATGTATTTGATTACAATTCTGAGTGTACAAAACGTAAAATGAAAATTAATATGTGCACCAGTTTTGCCGTCTTCTATTACGCGATCACTATACGTACAAAGCGATGTAAATGTTATTCGGAATAAAAATAAACTATAGTAAATATATTTTACTGCAAGTTTTGTCATGTGTATCTTAAGAAGCAGCAGAGGGAAAGGAAACAGGGCAGTTTGCTTAGTATGATTCGTGTTAAAACATGTTATAGGTTATTATGGTTATTACATTATGTAATGGAAAAAACACGAGGAAAATTGACATAAGTTTTAAATATGCTTATGAAATGATCGGGAATAAGAAAAACCACTTGCACGGTATAGCTAAATTGTATTTTATTGTTTTTAGAAATATTCGCCGTTCAACTTAATGCACTTTTTCATTCGTGCAAACCAATCATTAAAACAGTAATTTCAGTCTGAAGTTGATGTTGACATAAGCTGCTTCGAGGTCTTCAAACCGTTGACCGCGTAATAAATCTTTCATGTATGGAGGAATGTAAAGAGATTGTTTGGGCTCAGGTCAGGACTGTACGGAGGATGGCTCATCAGCTCAATGAAATGATTTTTTGAAAGGAAGCTTCAAAAAATCATTTGTCTTCCGAGCCGTATGGGAGCTCGCATTAACGTGATGTAACGTGATGTTACGCGAAGTTTCGGGTTATTTTTTCGGAGTTCGGCTATCATTTCTGGCAAACAAACCGCGATATACCACTCAGCGGTAACCGTTCTGCGTTCCTGTAAAGGAATTGTAGCAACATGCCCCTTTGTCGAGACAAACGTAGCGGCCATTTTCATTGACAAGCTGCGGGAGCGAACCACTTTCGTTGGTTTGACCTCGTCTTCGAAGACCCAAACTGCTGACTGATATTTTCTTTCAGGTTCGTATATTCTCACCTGAGACGATATTATAAACGGCGTTTGACTTCCCTCCGTTGAAGCGTTGCAGAGTATTCCAGCAACAATCTACACGAGCCATCTTTTGCTCTTCGGACAAATTGTGGGGAACCCAGCGGGAAACTAGCTTTCTTACACACAGCTCATCATGTGATATCGACTGAATTGCAGTCATTCCGATACTGATAACAGCCCGAATCTGATCGTATGTCACATGACGGTCATCTAATATAATAGTTTGCACAGCTGCGATGTTTTCAGGCGTGACCGGTGTTCTTGGTGGACCTGCAGAAGAAACAGTGCTGAGCGACACACGACCGCGTCGGAAATCGGCGTACCAGCAGTATATATTCGTTTGACTCGGTGCCTCAACATCATAAATCGAAACATTTATCTTGAGATAAGCCGCGACGAAAATTGTATCAAATTATGGAACGGAAATGTTCACGCGTGAGCTCTATTACTGTTTACGAAGTGTCAAATTTAAACCAACATAGTTTTTGTTTTTAAATATTTTTTTAATTGTTTGAATGTCATTAAGATTCTAAGAGGCCAGTATTCAAATTCTAAAAAAGATTTTATTGTAACTCAATCCGAAATATTCTATTCCCGATCATTTCAGTGTGCCCTAGTATAATTGTTTCTCTCACTTATGCTTACAGAATACTCATAATGTGCAGACAACGAACGCGAAGAAAAAATTAGCATAAAAAGTAAATTTTTCGTTGTTTCATTTGATGGATGCACTGACAATATGTTTAACTGTAGTTTGGATTTTAGATTTAGATTTGAATGGATATATGGACTTGGATTTTATATTTGTTATCTGATAAGGTTAATATACAGAAGCAAAAGTTATACTTACGTTAGCTGCAGAAAAAAGCAAAGCAGCAGTATTAAAGTAAGAGCCAAGAGTTGTTTTCTTAAGGTATATTCGTAAATTAACTTAAAAAAATTACAGCAAAGTATAATTTACTATAATTTGTCTTTAATTTAAAATAACATTTAAAAAACCTTAGTAATAAATAAATATTGATGAAAATACAGCACAGTTTACGTGTACGTTCTACTTCTTAGGATCTCTATAGACGCCCATAAAGAGTATAGAGTTGGTGGGACGTTCATAAATGATGTAAACGAACGGGAAGTTCGCAATGAAAACGCTAGGCTCCGCCGGCCGCGATGATCTGAAGCCAAAAATAGCTGAAGCGGCTGTTGCTACTGTACCTATAAGAGAAATAAAATATTTTTACGTCTTTTCCTAAAGAAAAATATATTTACTACCTCAAAGTCATTCTGTGACTTACCAACGTAAAAAGCAGCTTAATGCTACTGTGTTTCGTATACGAGTAGTGAGTCTAGAGAACCGGAGACTTTGTAACTGAAAACGGGGCATTCCATCTAAGTCCTTACGAGTGACAACGCATCTGCATTTTGATTCGCAGTCGAGGATATATGTAGATGTCTATAGTTCACAGCAACTACTTACCACAGTATATATAAAAAAGGATTATATTCTACAGCAATACTTTACAAGCATAGGATCACAAACAGTCATCATTGCCTCCCATTTTTTAAATAATATTAGTGTTGAACGAGGAAGCAACAACAGCCAAAGACAAAGACAGCCTTTAATTATGTAATAATATACTGACTCTATTGAATAAGCTTAATTTTACGGATTTTATCAGATCGGATTTTGAATTCAATTCAATTTAGGTAATTCCAGAAATTTCGAGTACTTTGTAGCAACCGTAGTTATGTACTCGAATGTACTATTTGACTATATCCGCGTTGCTCGCGTACTGTGAAATTTACAACGAGCACCAAGCTTCTGCAACGGCTCAATATGTATGTCAGCACAATTTACATATATACTCGTCAAATGCCTCCACAATAAGTGGGGAGGTTAAAGCAAACAAAACAGCAGGCACTCTTTTCTTTAATATTGGAACTCACGCGTATTGTATGGTTAGCACCAGAGCAATAATTCTCAAAAAAATTACATACATGTGCCTAATAAATACTACATGAATTATTACTGAAGTAATATTATATTTGCAGTCAGTTCATAATAAATACTCTTGATCCGTAACTGTAGTTGTTACTAACTTGTTGGATTTGTAAAATAATGAAAATTTATTTATATCGCAGAAATTTACCTTCTTCATCGATTTGAATTTTGGCTTTGTGTACAGCATCATCGAAGAGCACGCCTCGGTCTGCTGTAAGGGTACTGAAGTCGGCGGACGAGTTAAACAAGTCGCCTACATCCATGGCGTTTAAAATCTATAGATAAAACAAGAAAGTTTTAATGTATAAATTGTCTTATATGTTATATATTATTACGTTTATGTATGGCATATGCCTCCTCTCATTTATGTGGGTGAATGTTCAATGAAGCAAGAAAGAGCCCGCGTTGTCCCATTTCGTGTTGACGTCTTCTAAATATAATATATAATGTGTCGTATCTTAAAAACGTATATAACTTTGCCGAATCTTAAAATATACGAAAACAAAATGCAACACAGCAGAAAGACATCTAAGCGAACATATTTTATCCATTATCGTATTGAAAATAGGCATTCCTCATCGAGGGATTTTGATTGAATGGATTGATATTGTTTTGCAATGTTGCTATAATTACCACGTTTTGGAGGCGGGTTAATGATCAAGGTTCTAATTTATACTATTTATGATGCCGCTCATACGTTGGATTTGGTTTTGAGACCCAGCTTCTCGGACGGTTATAAAACCAACAGAAAGACGACAGAAAGTAAAGATTTAAGAAATTGTTAGAGTGGGATACCTTTTGTATCAGACAAAAGAATTAGGATGAATCTGGCGAAACTCGGGAAACCAGGTCTATGTTCAGACTAGTTTGTAATGAATAAACGAATGAACGGGACAAGCACCTAATCATACAGTCAGGAAATATATATTTCGGGTTTGGATGATTGTTCATAGGTATGCAACTTATGTTTACAAAATGGCTCCACGACACAGGTAAAAATTTTGTGAAATGGGGATTATGATCTTTTATATTACGTTACTGTGTTTATACATTTACTACACGGAATTAAGTGCTGACAATATTAATAGAATCCATTAGGTATCCCATTTCATCTCGCGGGTGACATAACAGGTGACTATGAGAAATGACAGAAAAATTTAATGGTCTCCAAGAATTGACAGTTACAAAATCTAGTGCAAGCTTTCTAAAAATACTCAGACATACGACAGGGAACAGCGACAAAGGCGAGAGTAATCTAGTTCTAAGTTCAACAACGAGCGAACCTATTCTGTCGTTATCTTCTTCTGCCTTCCATTATTTCAATTTATTAGAGGTCAGCATAACATATCTTTCTCTTTCATTCTCCTCTATTAACCGTCATCTCACTCTTTTCTTGCACATATCACCCGGCACAGTCTACCCATATTTTCTTAAGTCTCCCTCTATTATTATATCCATTTACTTACATAGCCAAAATTTAATATCTCACCGGTTTCAAAGGCAAGCTTCTTTCATTTGTGAACTTGGGAATCTCGACAATAACTTCGCGGCCCATGTAACTCTCCTCCACTACTGCAGCTAGTCGTTCAGGTGTCATGTTTGCGATTATGTTTGTAACCCCTGCCAACATTTTTAAACACTTGAAATTTGTCTATTATAGATATAACAGAATACTTATACCAAGACCTTGTGTTAACGTATCTACATAAATCTATATAGGACTTATTTCAAAAGCTTTCATCAATAATACATAACATCTGTGAAATATCTTCGCTCCTGAGAACTACGATGGAATGCCTCTTTACCAGTGAAATAAGTCTCCGATTCTGTTCTACGAGTATGCTGGTATCTTACTAGAACGTGCTTCGCCGGTTGAACCAACTAATTCAAGCTGCAGCCATGTAACAACTGTAGCGTTGCTCTAACTACCACTTACGTAACTTCCAAGATACTGTGTCACAATTTTTTTTAAATACTGTCTCATGGTGAACAATCAGGAGTATTCAAGAAAGAAATCAATTCTTCTTCTCTTATAAAGTAAAGTAAAATAAAGTTACAGCCTATATACGTCCCACTGCTGGGCACAGGCCTCCGCTCATTTCTGAGAGGGTTTTAGGGCAAGGAACTGTCCGCCGCGCTGCCCCAATTCGTGTTGGCGAACTTCACATGTCTTCGAAATATTTTTTTTCTTATTTCTCTAACATGCAGGTTTCCTCACGATGTTTCTGTCATCTCTTATGACAAGTTGGAATTAAAATAACTTCTAGATAGATTTTATCATTGACTTTATAAGTTTAAGACTGTATGCTTCCTATAAACATATTATACATGAAACATAGAGATCATCAATGATATTTACCTTCCTTCATAGAGTAAGGGGGTAGGAGAATGTACATGCTGATATCATTGCCTTTGTAAGGAAGCTCCAATATTTGAGCGCCGAGGTCATCATTTACCACTGGAATAAAACAATTAAAAAAATTGAATTTACTTTCAAATTCCTTAAATTAAGAAAAATGTTATTACAAAAGTTGAAACATTTACTACTTCTAGACTTTATTAATTATTTTTCACTAAATTAAGTTAGTGTAAAATAAATTTAAAGAAATATATAGTCGAATTGAGAACCTCCTAGTGTTTTCGAAATCTTAGTCTTTTTGGCTTTATTTTTTATTGAAGCCTTATTTATTTAAGTAATGTTTAAATGAGAAGGGTTATAATGGGTAGACTTAATAGGTACTTTATTGCATTCCTTACCAGTCAGCCCCGGCACATGAAGTATGTTCATTTTGTCATACTTTAATGTTATTAGTAATAGGTTTCTACTTTAGGAAAACAGTAATCTGTTTATCTTATTGTAAAAATAATATTATTGTAAAAATAATATTATTGTAAAAATAGCTCCTACTGCTTACTGTAATGGAAAGTTCCCTTCTGTTTCATGAAAGGCACAAGGGTTTGACGAGTCTCTGAAACAAAAAATGGTTCCTTTTTCGTTCTTTCAGCGGGAAACTTCGACGCCCACACTCCTTTAAAGTAGGCAGCGTTAGCTAAAACTAATTTAGTGGCTTGAGAAACTGCATCTTCGGGTAGCAAATTTTTTATGTTATTCTTAGTCACGTGTGCAACCCAGTCGTTGATGTGCTCGCGGGCCTCCCGGGGACTGTCGTGGAAGTTCTGAAATAATCCAAAAATATACATTAATAATGAAAAGTGTATGAGTTATAACCTGATACTAAATTACAAGTTAAAAAAAAAACAAATTAAAATGTTTTTATTATTTTATATTAATATCTAGGTATTATAAACATACATAAACACTCACGCCTGTCAACCATAGGGGTAGACAGAGACACAGACTTCCATTTAGCACGATCCTGACATACCTCTCTCGCCTCTTCCACATCCATATACCTACGCATACATGCACGTCGGTTAAGGGTACTCTTAATTTGGCCCATTTATAGTATATCGCCAATTTGGTCGACAAACTTCCGCCTAGGACGTCCCTTTCCAACTCTTCCATTCACTTCTGCAACATATAATTGCTTTGTCAGTCTTTCCTTATTCATTCTTTCTACATGACCAAACCACCGAAGCATTCCTTTCTTAATCCTGATCACCGCATCATCTTGCAAACCACACTCTTCTTTTATCACACAGTTTCTCACAATGTCACTCAGATTCAGCCCTAACATAAGTTACAGCCTATATACGTCCCACTGCTGGGCTCAGGTCTCCCCTCATTTCTGAGAGGGTTTAGGGCAAGGAAGTGTCCGCCGCGCTGCCCAAATGCGTGTTGACGAACTTCACATGTCTTCGAAATATTTTTTTTCCTTATTTCCCCCAGACATGCAGGTTTCCTCACGATGTTTTCCTTCACCGCCGAGCACGTGGTAAATCAGCACTTAAAATTGCACTTAACAATTTCATTGGTGCCGGCGGGGATCGAACCCGGTTTACTCGCGTTCTACAGTGTATTTACAGCGAGCGTTAACCATCTGAGCTTCCACGGCTCTTAGCCCTAACATACTCATACAATAATATATCTAGGTATTATATTGCTTATTTATTTATTTATTGACCCTCTTGAATGCTTTAAAGAATATCACATGCACATGCTCAAGGTAACAACTACAACGTCGTTAAGAGTTACATTAAACATGTCCTGTTTCACAAAAAGGAGATCGCTAATCCTGGCTTTTACCCCTGGCCCTTTACGGGATTTATCTTTGGAGTATACCGACCGCCTTCAGTTGTAAGGGTTTGAGATTTCTTCGAACTACAAGTTCGAACGTTTCGTTGAGTCGAGGGCCAAAGTAACCGTAAGAAAATTAGGTATTCTTGCAGTGGTGCGGTAGCACTTCACGTGCGGGTAGTTTCTGACCACTTTTAAATAATTGCTTCCACATATGAGTTGGTACTGCAAAATACCACCTAACAGCGTTGAACTCAGTAGAGAGCCGTGCTAAGAAACTCTAACAATGACATTAATTTGTATAAAAGCAATCTTGTCGACCATGAGAATAGGTGCAGTCTCATGGGACGGCAAGATGCATTTCGAAACGTGTGCGTAGGTATTACACGCTTTAATTTCTCCCATCCCTTTCCACTATCGAAGAACCAGACGGTTGAATAGTCTTCATCCCTTTGCTGTCGATATTCTACGCATTTGAACCAAACTATTTCCTTCGTTTGTAGTAATGTGCGAAACAAAAAAGTGGAAATATGTTGCCGGTGTTAGTCTTTCCGTCCGATTACGATCTGGGTGTCTTCAAGGCAAGAGTAAATAGGCTTTTGTTACGCTAATACAATGCCATTTACTATCTAGTCTTCTTCACTAGTTTCCATGAGATGGGATAGTAGTAAAGCACTGGGTTATAATAAGTTAAAAAAGTTCATTATTTCCTCTAATAAGCGCAAATGGAAAAAAATCTTTCTCGATTTAATTTAATACGTTATATTGTACGTTACCTCCGTAAGTTGATGGCATACGTAGGCTCTTTGTTTGCAATTTTTAGTACAGATTGTTTCAAAGTTATTTATTAGCGAAGTGTTAGTAGCCGAACAAGTTTTCACGAATTATGTATGAAAGTTATTTCTAAAATCTAGAAATGCGATTCCGAACACGGCTAACATTTAATATTGTACATAAATTATAAACAACAGCCTTTTTGGGCCCTTTTCGGTAGGTAGCGCGCAGCGTTTTATTCCAATTCACATCGGACGTTTCATATCACAAACCGTAAATATAAAATTAACTAATGACTCGAACATCGCCATCTATCAGGTCTGGGTTTTGTGGTTTCTTTATTTCAATAAATATAACTTAATATAGTTATAGATAAAATAAATATAGACTTTTTCAAGCACACAGTCCACCACACCAGTCCACACCAGTCCACCACACCAGAAGCATACAGTCCACCTGATGGTACGTGGATGCTGTGCCCCATAGACATCTACATTTATCCGCAACTAGCGATTCGCCCCGCCTCCGCACGTGTGATATCTGTATGTCAACAACAGCGCCATCTACCGGGCCCAATTCTAAATTTAAAGCATTCTCGAATCAACTTAATCACAGACACACAAAATTTCATCGAAAACGGTCCAGCCGTTTAGGAGTTCAGTCACATACACACAAACAGAAGAATTATAAGCACATATAATTATACACATAAACCTTCCTCTTGAATCATTCTGTCTATTGATGAAAACCGCATCAAAATATGTTGCGTAGTTTAAAAGATCTAAACGTATAGACTGCGATAAGCGATTTTGTTTTATACTATTTTGAAATTAAGAATCAAAATGCAGATGCGTTGACACCCGCGAGGACTGCGATGAAATGTCTCGTTTCCGGTAAATATTTTATTAATTTTATTTCCTGACGTCGGTTTTTAATGTTCATAAAAAAATTATTTCTTTGCCCTTTTATATATATTACAAGAACAATTCTTAGTTACATTAAAAACTTCACCTCTATTTTTACCCTCAGGTGAGGAATTTTTCTTTCAAATTTATGTGGGACCACTCCCAAAATATAACATTTAAAAAAAGAATCATTTAATAATTAATCATATTTGCATACTCGTCGAATATAGAACCTTCTTTTAGACATCTGTTGACACAATACAACTAAATTGATAACATACTTGTTTTAGAAGTCAGGTAATTTAAAAAAAAACAAGTTTAATTCTATAAAAGTGAACCATTATCCTTCATCCTTTTAAAACCTGTTTAATGTTTATCACTGTTTTCCGATATAACGTAGTAATAAAAACACGATCATTATCATCGTTGCTGCCTGTCACAAGTCCAATGCTAAACAATAAATAGCCTTTCCCATAGATTGCCACAAACCTCAAAGCATTTTCATTACCAACAACCAGTGCAGGTTGTACACTATTACTTAAAAATTGTGCTATATCGAGCAAGAAGATTTCTAGCAATTTTCCGAACACAGCCCAGCCGAGTTGATATCCTCGAATGACCTTTTAGTTAAGTTGGACTTAAACTGACATTTTTGGCAACAACTTCCAGCGTAGTGTTCTTAACAACTACTAGCGTCCATGTTATTTATACTGGATTGGTAACATGGGTATTCGACATCATCTTAAGGCCTACCGGTTGAAAAACGCTATTGACCTCGTTGAGGATTGGTGTTAAGGCCCTCCAGGGATTTTGAACGGAAACTAATGTTCCACAGATGGACATGAACATTTCCCGTTACTTTTGGATCTGCTTTAATCGTCACGCTTTACAGGCGAATTAACGATCGCAATATCATACGTTGTAGTATCGTACGTATTTGACGCTGCTCCGTCACAGGTCTGCGTTATTTTCTGACGTAACCGAATGGTTATACGGCTATTTACCGGAACTTAAGAGATTTTTCTGACACTTCCCATAATTGCCTCTTACAACATCCACCGAACGAAATAGGGTTGATGGACTCGTTCGGCATCTTCAAAAGAAAATCTTAAATACTGGTACATTATAGTGCAAATAAGCGTAACAAATGTTAAATGGATAATGTGGCTAATACACATTTACATCTATATTTCTCGCTAAAAAATCGAAACAACATTGCACTGTCTCTCATCCTTACTACCTCGAAAATGAATTACCTCATCGTCAGTAATATTAGTCTCCGGTTCTCGTTACTCGCATTGGTTTTTTTAGAGCATTTTCCTTGTGACCCGGTCGAGAAGACACAATCGTGCAGTAGCCATAATACAACTTGGGCGTAGCTTGTAAAATATGCTTTAATTGATCTATATTGCATATGAATTGGACGGACTAATGAAAAGCTATCTCTGCTTCATTATTGGCCTTGAGCTCTCGAAAAGGAAAATGGACTAAAAAGTTAAACTCCTACTTTTCTCTATCTCCTTTTTATACCACGGAGCAACTTGTATAGGAATGCTGAGGACAGTTTTTAATCCTATTATAATCGTAGCACTCGGTCAAGGATTTAATTTGGTAAGTAAGTGTATCTATAGCTTAGTACATGTGTAGTACTCATTGCAGTAATTGACAAAGTGATATAATTAAGGTTGTTCTATTGAAGGACAAACCTTTTTTGACGGTTTATAAACACAGATTATACACAAATGGCATAACACTAGGAGATTTGTTTTCATATGAATTAGGGTCCACATAGGAAAGACAAAGTTGAAGATAATAATTATACTGAAGTGAAATTTGAAGAAAAAGTATTATTTTTTAAATATACCACGTATTTTACATTGTCAAAATTTCAAGACTCTAGCTCAGTGGGAAGTTACTTATAAATCAAAAACTAAATTCGACCTGAACAAACATGACAAGGTGAGAGATTTAAGTAGAAGTAGAAGCGAAGTGCAACTCATTTAATAACTTGATATGAGAAAATAGCTTCCACTTCATGGGTCAGTCTTTACACCATATACTTTGCGACTTCTTTAAATACATAACCAACCACGAAACAACACACGAACCACGAAAAAAACACGAAACACGAAAGCGAGTTAAAAAAACGTGGTAAAATAGAAATAACACTCTTCAAAATATGGAAAGAAGTTTTTATAAACCCCGTTTATAAATGTTTTATATTTCTATAAAACATTTATAAGTTGTATACTTATGTTCATATATTTGAAATCAAAAATCATACCAAAGTCTCCAGCTCTTCTGAAAGCTGGTCAAGCATACACTGGCGAACGTTCAAGTCTTTGTCAACGAACATTCTGTTGGCGCTAGTAAATTCGTAGCTGTCGCTGTTATTGTTGACTGCTCGAGATCTTTTGTCCACTTTGTATGCGGTAATTAGATTGATTTTGTCCTGGAATTTCACAACGCAAATTTATAATGATCATATTATGCATCTGTGGCATATAAAATTTCCATATAAGTATTAGAAATTACACAAATCATACGCCAAACAATAAGAATTTTGGATTTCCACTAACATATCTTACACAGTTATAATACATAGAGTACAGCTTTTTGTTTTAAAAGACATATTTAACGCATAACGCTCTGACTTTATATCACTAAAAATTGCTTTTATGGCCTTCATAATATTAATTACTTTTATTGACATATTGAACTGAATTTTATTTTAATTTATTGTTTTATAATTTTTTACTTGTACATATATTATTGTACTTCGACAATTATCAATATTTTATAATTGAAAATTAGAAATGATATATTTTATAAATTAAGTTCGGTTTTAACGCATTTGTAGTTAGCTATGTAATCAATATTTCTATGTAAATTTATATTGTGTATTTTCAAATACAATGCAAATTGTTTTATGAATTAACGAATAAAAAAGTAAAAAATGCACTTAAAAGTATTTAAATATCTATTCTTCTAATGCACCTACCAATTTATCCGCTATTTTCAAAGAGCCTTTTAAAGCTTTCTCAGTTTGTCCTCCGGCAGCAAAGTACGCTAGCAAAAGCGAATGGTAAACTGAGTACGGTGAGAAGAATATATTGTCATTAGGAACCAATTTATTGATTTCATTAAACAGGTGCAATGTAAAATCCAGTTGTCCTCTGTACAACTGTTCCCGCGACTGTGTGTCCAATTTCTTGGAAGAGTCGTCTTTGTAGAAGCATTGGCCGTTTACGTTTACGTATATCGACGATATCAAAAATATTATTACCCCGAATTTTAACATTGTAAACCTGAAACAAAACATTCAATCATTCAGTAATTATAACATATCGAACATCCACTGCGAAGTCCTAAGCCTCCCCCATAGATTTCTTCTTAGGTGAAGGGAAATATTTGCCATAGTTGCTACGCTTGGCGGCGAGCAGCAACGGAAGTGTATTATCGCGCAGCATAAATAAACAATATGATATATCCCACCAAAACGCAATTATATTACACCGCCTATGTCATATAGTTTGTAGATTTATTTCTTTATATCTTTGATAGTCTGGAAGAGATTGCTATGCAGCGACATGGCCACCAGATTGTACCTAATGTTTTGATTTTTATTAGTTATTTTATGAGTTTTTCAGAAATTTCAGAAACATAAGAATCAGAGTTATGGTCCTTCACTATTAGCCATATGAAGTTTAAATCTCAAGGTTGCTTAGCGATCTATTGAGATGGCTACGCTCGGAGTATCTCTGAGTGATAGAATTCGTCATAAGGATATCCGCAGTTGGATTAGAGTAACCGAGCAGATCGGTTTACTTATGATTATTATTTACTTATGGCAAGATAACGGTCCAGCCATATACATAACTTGAAGAACCGACAATTAATTGAGTAGAAAGGTTATCGCGTGACAGCCCTGTAAACGATCTATATGGCGGTTCACTTCTCTCCCGATGGATGGAGGTGGCTCAGGACCGTGTTTTGTAGCTTGGCCTTGGAGAAGTCCTATGTTCAGCAGTGGACTTCTGATGAGCTTAATAATTATGATAGTGATGATACAATATGAGTTTTTATTAAAACTGTCGTGCTTACAATAAATAAATAATATAAGTCGAATTTTAAAACTTTACGCCTATTTACTAATTGGAAAAACAATTTACAGTATTAAACAAAAAATATCCATGACGAAATATTGTAAAATAATATTAAAATAAGTCATATTAAGTGCGTAATTTTAATTAATAATAAGCGCCAAGCAAGCTTAACAAACTAACGAACTATAATTAGATATATCGCCTACAGATAATTTTCACATCATTTTATGAACCATACAGGAACTTAATTTAAATATTTAGTATTTTAATATTTATTTTTTTGTAAATATGCTTTTACACATATTTTCTACTTAAAATAACCGAATACCCACTTTTTGTCCGTTCGTCAAGATTTTTAAAATACTTTTTTACTAGTAATATAGGCCGTTGGAGTTTTCTATATTTTCTAAGTTTTAACAGCAAATAGAGATAATTTCAAATGCACAAAATAAATCATTTACCTATACAATTTATACATCGACAGATGAATGATCAAGATACGATCTCCGATGCAATTATTTGAAGCCACCCGGCGCTTTCTCTTGTTCCGGCCGAGTTGCAGAGGTCATAGAGGGTAGAGGAAGGGAGGGAGGTGTATAAGTCTCACAATACATACAGTAATTTATCTTACTCTTGATCGATTACCATTCACTAAACATCGAAGTCAGCATTGTTATGTGGCAGAGACATAAACTCTTTTAAAAATAAATTTATTTAACATATTTAACTGTAATATAAACTAATTTAAAATATAGACGTTGATTCAGAGAGTTTGAAAATAGAATTGTGTTGTGGGATCGAAGGACTTGGTTTATATATTGTAGGATCGTAGGAAGCTAGGAGATGGAGTAAAGATAAGGGAACAACATTATGCTTGTTTGTGTTTATTGTTAACTTATTCTTAGATACAATTAAGACTGGTAAACTATGGAACAATTAACATTAGTATTTAAATATTACAATCTAATTAGTTTGGTTTCTAAGTAAGTAAAGAATATAATTTAGTTTAAAAGTAAATAAACAATATAGGACTAACAATATAGGAGTATATAGGACTTATAATATAAAGTAAATAGCATATAAAACAATAATAGTACCTATAACATAACACCATGTTAAATTTTGTTTGTAAAAACGATAAGCTTTTTCTAAGTAGATGTTGAAAATACCTAGCCGAAACTGAAGAAATAAACAAATTCAAAATAATAACATATAAAAGCAATTCTTCATTATTATATAATTAAAATTTTGAAACTTTCTAAACCGTGAGAAGGTTCAAAATGGTCGCTTTATTATAATACCTACGGCAACTTAATTAATAAATATTTTACTTTCGCTCAGTACTGGCCATCGCTTAAACGAAAGCTTTTTAATTATGTTTTTTCATATAATAATCAACTTGGAGTATTCCCCAAATCTAATTCAGCAACATGTTGCTAAGTTAATTGGAAAATATGTCTACGAATCTTTCATATTTTATATCGTACACAATACGCAGCTGCGCCTGACTCAATACATCACGTCGTTAAAGTTAATCGGGAAAGCCCCACCGAGGTGAGCTACCAAGGCTGTGTGTATTTATTTTTTCCTTATTAATAATAAGTATAACGGCAGTTATTTAAAACACAATAAATCTTTTGATATAAACGCCAACACATTCGCCTTGGTCAGTCTCGTTGATTAACTTTATTATACAGAATGTTTGGAAGATGGGTGCAGAGCTTAAGAGGATAATACCTTAAACTATTTAGAACATATTAAGCTAAACTTGTCTTAGATGAACTCTGCCCCATTTTTGATTGAATTTCTAAGGTTTAAAACAAAAATCTAATAATGTTATGTTATTATCTTTTATTTATATCGATATGGAAAGTGTGGAATACGCTGCACTGAGAAAACAAGTATCCTATCATTTATATATTACATATTATATATTTTCCATACTTGATATATATATACACGAAAGAATAATTTCTGTCACTGTGTGCTAAATAGTGACATTGAAGATGAATGATTTTTAAAATCCATCTTGTGGACCGATGGTTCAAAGTATTCGAAAAAAGTAATCATCAACTTTCATAACCTTCATGGATGGGCTGGTAAAGACAGGAATCCACACTAGAAGAAGCGTCATTTCAAAGGAAATTTTCAGTAAACATGTGGACAGGAGTAATCGGCTGAACGTTGATTGGTCCCCACTTCCTACCAGTTAATTTAAATGGAGACAATTACCTGGAGTTCCTCATAAACGATCTTCCAGAGCTTCCGGACGATGCCAAAATACCAATATAGGTAACAAGAAGACTAATGATCTTTCAGCAATATGGTTGTCCAGCGCATTGGACTCTAAATATGCGAGAACATTTAAATAATTGTTTCCCAGAGAACTGGATCGGCAGAGACGGTCCCATGCCTTGGCCACCTCGATCGCCTGATTTAACTCGTATGGATTTTTTCGTTTGGGAACAGGCCAAGGCTTGTCTACATGCATGTAGAAATATCAACCAAAGGGGAGTTAATAGGAAGAATTCGTACGGCTTTTCAAGTTATGAAGCAGGAGATGAAAATGAAAATTACGACAACAGATGCTATAAGATGATGCCGCGCTTGTGTCAGAAATCGTGGTCAACATTTTGAATACGAAAAATAAATTATTTTAACAAAAAATGTAGTTTTATTGGTGTGTTAAAAATTAAAAATATTGGTCTGCGATGTGTTTTGAGATTTGATGAGACATCTGCGTAAAAACAACCTCGAAAGAAAGGGCAATAACTAAACATGTTTTAAAAAGGTTTTAAGAACAAAGACTATTTTATTTATAGAAATAAACACAACATTTCCATTTTTTTTTTTTTGGTTTCTTAAACTTAAGAATGTATAGAATGTTTTTCTGATGATGAAGATGCTCGGAAATTGTTTTGTTTGAGTAATCGCACATTACATAAATAAAAAACGCACTAGTAACAAAACCACTGTTATTGGGCATTATTAACAACTAATTGAAAAAAAAACCTTAGAAAAACATTAGGAATTCAATTAAAAAACAGGAGCAGACTTCATCTAAGACAAGTTTAGCCTAATATGTTCTAAATAGTTCTAAATAATATTATCCCCTTCAAGCTTTGAACCCATCTTCTAAACAACCTTTATACCATTACTTTTTAGCCATTAATGTTTACAGATAAAAGTAGACTATGTATAATATAATATAATATAATAATATAAATATATATATAATAATATAAATAAATAATATAATATAATAAGGTCTTTACCTATAAAACTACTGTTTTATTCTACTGGGATCTTTGAACATTTAATAGTTATGGTTTGACTAGGAATACTAAATTTAATGTTTTTTTATTTATATATAGCACGTTGTTCCTTTTTCAAAATCATTCGAATATTTGTTTCTTAGGTTTTGGATGTTTTTTTTTGCAATATCGCTTAATTTTTAATACAAAAATAGAGTACTAAACCCATTTTTAAAAATTGTTTAAAATGAATCCTAGAGTGATAATGAACCACTATCATTTTTATATTTTTTTTTAAAACCAAATGGTGCCATAAAAATTACTTCGCATGAAAACGCTAGCCGCCATGCTGTTCAACTCGTGACGTCACAGTCCTCGATTTTGCCGATTTTGCAAAGGAATAAGTTACTTTTTAAAGTTTATTAATGAGTTATCATCTAAATCATTGTTGTGTTGTGCAAAAATACAAGCATAATGGGAGCAAAATGCTGGAAAAGTTATGGATTCAAGTGCCAAGTATTTAAATATAAGAAAGACATGGTTAAAACTAGCAAGAAGATACCCGAATACATTGTCTACAAAAACCAGACTATTCTTCTGTGAAGATCATTTTGATGTAAATATGACTTATATTTAACTATCGCTTAATACAAAACAAAACATCATGAGGTGAAGGGTATCGCAAGTAAATTATTAGTTAACTTCGATATTATAACTAATGATTGCTAATGATTGGAATTATAGATAAACTTTACTATGATATGTTTTATCAAAATACACTCTGACCTGATATTGTGTTTTTGTATAAAGAAAACTTGGTAATAGGTACTTACATTGATGTTTTAACATTTAAAAATTAGGATTGCATGCAAAAAATATGTCACCATGAATTTATTTATCCTTGGTAGATTAGTACTTTCTGATTTCACGAATTCTTCTTCCTGATGC